CAGTTATCTGCATAACTATAAATTTATGGCTAGCAACCTGTGGTCACTAATAATAGATATGCCATAAAATATCAATAGTTGTAGAGTAGTGCTGTCCAATAGAATGTGTAAGCCACATAGACAATTTTAAATGTTCTGTTAGCTACACTAAAACAACTGTGAAATTAATTTTAGTAATGTGTTTTGTTGTATACAGTACATCCAAAATGTTATGATTCCAGCACGTAGTGAATAGAAATCATGAATGATGTATCTTAGATTTTTTTTTCCATACGAAGCCTTCGTGTCTGGGTATATTTTACATGTAACACACATTTCAGTTTGGAGTAGCCACATTTCACATGCTCAGTATAGCCGCATGTGGCCCGTGGCTGCCACGTCAGACAGCACGCTCTGTAGTGTCTAATTTCATTCTGCCAACATGGGCAAAGCTGTTTCTTTGAATTCCTGTAACTGGCTTTGGTTCATGTTTGCACAGCTCATGTTTACTTTCTGTTAGTGACAGATGTGTCACATCGGTATGTAGCAGCAGAAACCTTCTGGATCCCGCTTTCCTTTCTTAATTAGAAAAGGCGGGGACTTGCCTGAAAGTTCAGTCTTCTTGGGCCAGGTTAGCGTGCACTTGATTGTGTAGAAATAGGACAGAAGTTAACATGGTTTAATGCTTCTGAAATAAATGTCGTTTTATACAACTTTTACCATAGTCTGTAACGTTCTTGTTTTTAATCAGCTGAAGTGGGCGGGTAGTGAGAGCGCTCCCTAAGTAAGGAATTGCCGCAGCAGGGCAGATGGCGAGTGTGCCTCGGTGCCTCCCCAGAGCTGACTTGTTCCCAGTGCGAGTGGTGTGAGCAGCGTGAAGCAGCCCCCGCTCGCCCTCATGTCCAGCCCGTCAGGGTGGATGTTCCAGGCCAGGGCTGCTGTGGCCTCCTGGAGACACTGGGCCACCTTAGAGTGGGTCAGACAGTGTTTGGGTTGACAGTAACTACCCATCTTGATTTTATACAAACATACACACCTATACGCGAATGTGTGTGTTTATGTATAGTTAGAAATTCCTTTGGTTGTTTCATTTCTGGGTATTCATCTGTAATTTTGTTTTCTAAAATCATTACTAATGGAACTGGTCATTCCCCCTATAGTAGTCTGTGACTCAATTTTTTTTGGTCAGTTTGTAACTGAGCTGCATGTGAAGTATAGATTGAACTCGAAGGAGCGGAGGTGGGAGGGGCCGGAGGAGAAGCAGGGAATGGAGTGGGTTTGTGGAAGAGGTGTAGACGTGGCCATGAGAAGATTGTGTAAACAAAGCAGCACGCTCACAAGGTGTGGGCAGTGTGGTCTGTGCAGTAAAGACTACTTCCAGGTGAATAGCGCTAGGTGGAGACCACGTTAATAAGATTCAGATGCCAGCCAAAGTTTGGATACATCTTTAGAATATTCCGGATCCAGATTCTTCATTTGTGTATCACCCTCCCCCAAGAGGATTTTTTTAAAATATTGACTTAAAGTCCATTTTTATGACCAGCTTTAAATAGACCTTTTCGAAGCCTCTTCAGTCTTCTGAATTGAGGTATCTTAGAATTATTGTCTCCTAATTCCTCAGATGAACACCTTTTCTGACTAGCAGGCACACTGATATATTGAGCTTGAAATTAAAAGCTGTTTTTATAGCTTAGAATTTAGGTAAATTCCTATCATGTAAGAAAATAATACCACTTCTGAAATGCTGTGCCTTTCTCATCATCCATTACCCGACAGTGACAGATTCGAGTGCCTCTTCCAGAAACAGCACGTGTGGTGCCATAGTCAGAAACTCTGAAGGTCCCTAACTTCACAAACTAGTGATTCTACAGGGTCACCAATGTGCTGTTACAGCTCAGCATGTAATGGCCATATCAGCTGCTTCCTGACCTACCAGCGGGTCCCTCAGTAAGATTCTGGACTTCATCCCAGCGGGTTTTGAAAATGAGGAGTGAGCACACTGTGGGGGTGCATCAGGCGGTGGCCGGGGGAGAGGGTGGGGACAGCTTGCCTGTCGTGGGGCAGGTGGGCGGGCTGGCGCGCCCGGGATCGGATGACGACGGTGTTCCGGCAGACACGATGCATCAGGTGTGGTGTGTGGCGAGCACAAACAAAGGCAGGACCGCGGAAACAGGATGGAACGGGGGTGGGAGGGGGAGTAGGATGTGCATCAGGCGCGGGGTGCCGCTGGGGCGAGGACTTGAACCCGGTTCAGGCGATTGCGGTGCTTGTCAGCTGGCCCAGGGCCAGGAACCCAGACGGGGGCGTGCTTCCAGAAGGGGCTCCTGTGGCAGGTCGGTCACAGGGACGGCTTGCCGGGGCTGTTCGAGTGAGGTCCCGGCGCTGGCCAGCGTCTGTGACGCGCTCGGTCCCCCTGGGATATTACATCGCGACCCCGTGAGAGTCACGCGGCACGTGGGCGGTAAGCTGGCCGTGGGAAGACGCCGCGGGCCGTGGGCTTGCAGAAACCTTACCTGCACTTCACATGGAGTCCGCCAGATTTGAGTGCGTCTGACTTATTTAAGATGCACGGTGGCCCTGGAACAGCCCCGCGGCCCCCGCCGTGTGAGCAAGGAGCCTGAGAGCGTGCAGTGATACGGTCCACGGTGACTGTGGAGCAGGGACTCTCCCCGACCGAGACCTGTTCCAGGTGTGTGAGCAGGCTCGTGGCCGAGGGGGAGCGCACGGTGGTGTCCTCGTTCTTCCTTACTCTGCGTCATGACTGTAGGAAGTTCTCTTAACGCTGCGTCGCAGCAAGCGGTTTGTAGAAAGCATGCCAGAAATGGGAGAGGAGGTCCTGGGTCACTGTTGTAAAATGTATGTACTTGGTGCAAAATACTGTGATTAGTGTTATTGCTAAATGGTTTTTTTTTTCCCCAAAGATGGTCACAATTGAATATCTGCACTTGATCTTAGCCAAAACAGATCATGCTTGTGAAGATAGCTGCGCCTGTGCAGGCAGAACCAGCGTCCTGAAATGCCGGAGGCCCTGCTTGTCTATCAGTGGAGAGCAGAGGGGGGAAGTAGCTAGGCTTTGAGAACCCACTTATGCAAAAAATCTGGCCTCAGGTACTATCAAAGGAAATACCGTGCACCGTTTGTGGAGAGGAAAAGGGAAGGTTTTCAGTACCCCAGTCAGAGTCATTACAAGGCAGCAACAAAGAAAACTACCCTAGTATACAAGTTTTGTGAGGGCAAGGGTGTGTGTGCTCCGCTTGCTGACGTGTGTACAGAGCCTAGGACAGTATAAGCATTCAGCGAGTGACAGTTGAATGAATGAAATAGTCACTTCAAACAGCTGAGTTGCTGAATTGAGCAGTCAATCGCAGATTACATGAAAGTATTGAATGTATTGAAAAAATCACTTAATTAGATTATATGCAAGGGAATACCCCATGTAACAGATGGGGGGAGGGATGGGGCTGTCTTAGAAGTAATTTCCCACAGTGTGTGTTAGGACCCCAAGTTCACGGAAACCCAGTCCTGGCCTGTGTGAAGCTCTTTTGCTAAGTGACTTGCAAAAATTCAGAAAGTTGCCATTTAATGAGTGCCTACTGTGTATTTTCTTTATTGTGAAATTTCAGATTTACAAAAAAGTACGAGCTTTGCCAAGTACGTTGGTAGTGGGGGGGGGGGGGGCAGAAGGACCAGGCAAGGTCACTGGCTGCACTTGGTTGACCTGTTGTACTGGAAGTGCTGGGCAGTTCCTGGGGGGCAGGCAGGCATCTTGGGTGGTTGTGGAGATGGGCGCCAGGGACACCCAGGCCAGAGGGTGGGGAGCTGCCGGAGACGGCACCCGGTTGATACCATGTGCACGGCTCTTTTCAGCTCGGCTCCCAGGTAGTGGAACCTCAGGAAGTCTGCAGGTTTACCAAAATTGAGTTGTTTTGTTAAATTGAGACATTCTGTACCATTTTCTAAATGAGTAGCAGGTGGCTTTAGGCTCACAGAACCGGAGCTGCTACACGCAGGAGTTCCCTGACGGGAGATTGCGGGGCGGGGGGTGCCCGGGCCCAGCAGTCACCCCGCCCTCCTCCAGCCTGTCCTGTTAACTGGAGGGGGACCGGCGCGGGGGAGGGGGTTCCGTTTGGAAGTTACCTACTTCAGTGTCGTACGTTTGTTCAGTCAGCTATGTAGCGAAATTGCTGTCCTTCCAGCTTGTGGGACACCTTCTGTCGTGGTCACTGTGCCCTAAGGAATACTTACTTGGTTGTGGAACACTGGCAGAAAGAGCCAAGTGAGATTTCATTGCACATGATCTCTTCCAGCAGATTGTTCGTGTTTGGTTTCCGTGTCATGGTTGTAACTGTCCACATAGAGTGTTAGCGGTTCTGTACGAGGTTGTGTTTCCCAGAGTTCCTTGCCCCCACCCCCGTGGTGTAACACGAAGCAAGGCTGATGCCCTGTGTGGACTGGGGCACCTGGCTTCAGGGCTCATCTAGGGTTATGATACATACCCTTCAGCTGAAGCGTGCACGACCCTCTCTTCCTGCCTCACACCCCTCCTGCTTGCCACAAGAAGTTCTTTCGTGTTTTAATTTTAAACTGTAGGTTTGGAAAAACTAATGGGGTATAGGCAGATAGATAGGAACGTAACAGCAGTGTAAGTAACTGCTTTTGTATTCAAGTGATCAACAGTATATGTCACGAGAGTAGCTTTAGCTCATTTAGACTTAGGGCTGCTCAGAGCTTAGCTGGAATTTCCATTAGGATCAAAGGTCTTTATATTCTCCTCAGCTGGTTTTGTCATAATCCACTTTGCAGGAGTACTTTTCCTTAATTTAGAAACAAAATAGGTACATTTCCTGTCAGTTCCTTTATGTTTAACACGTAGAGTGTTATTTTTATCAGTACCGATTCTCCCGTAAGAGCAAGAGCCGGGACTTTCGTTACCGCTCGCTGTGCACCGCTTGTTGTTGGTGTCGTATTTTTATTTTACTGTGTCTTTTCAGTGCCGTGTTTTTTACCCTGTTTTTGCCTAGGGTGCTGGTCAAGACAAACTTGGGATCTACGTCAAGTCTGTTGTAAAAGGAGGCGCCGCAGACGTGGTTCGTATGGTTCCTAACAGTTGTGCGTTCACCGTGTGTCACGTTTAACAGACGACCGCGGGTGCTTCAGAGCCCCTTCCGTGCGAAAACGCGGATTGTGCCGGCTGCTGAAGGCCAGACGTGGGCGCGCTCACCGCTGACTCACCTCTTCCTTCTCTTGCCCCTTGCTGCCCCGCTGCCCACGCACGGCGTTTCGGGCGTGCTCAGGACGGACGCCTGGCTGCCGGCGACCAGCTCCTCAGCGTGGATGGACGGAGTCTGGTGGGACTCTCTCAAGAAAGGTATCGGTTCTGTACTTGCTTCAGGCTTACTATTAGCATCTGAGGAGCTTTCACAGTAGATTCAGGTTTAGAAGACGAGAAATGATGCTAAAAGTCTCCGCCCTTAATCTTCGCCTTTTTCAATGTAAAACTTAGTGGATATGACCTCTCGTTCGTTAGTGTGTTGTAAGTATGGATTTTGGCCTGGGGCAGTTTCCTTGCAGTTTAAAAGGGCGCACCCTTGGCATGTCCCGGGAGTTCCTGAAGGTTCTCCTGCCGGTTTTGATGTAGTAGTTCTTGATCTCCGATCTGTGGAGGGAGCAGGCGGCAGGGGGCTTGTGCCGAGGTCAAAACTGTCGCTCAGAGTAGCGGGGGAGGCCGTAGCACACGCCTGTGTCGCTCGGGCCGCGGGGGCGGGCACTGCCCTCGTCCCTTACACGCGCGACGCCCTCTTCCCAGGGCAGCGGAGCTCATGACCAGGACGAGTTCCGTGGTGACGCTGGAGGCAGCCAGGCACGGGGCGGTTTTCCACGGCCTCGCCACGCTGCTCAGCCAGCCGTCCCCGCCCATGCAGAGAGGTGAGCGCCCCGGCGCGGCGCCGCCCGCCGCCTCCCCTCCCTGCCGCCCCGGGACCCGCCTTCTCCTCTAGACTCGCGCGTCCCGTCCCCCCCCCGTCGGCCGCCACCTGCCTCGCCGGCCTGGCGGTGACACAGCAGCGAGAAAGCGTCCGCGAACCGGACCCGCTGTTCCCTGAAACGGACCAAACCCCGTATCTTAACAAAGCCCTGCGTGTAGCAGAGCCTCTTTCCTTTCCTCCTGACGTGATAGCAGGCGGGTGGCCTGGGTCACAGCCTACGGGCGCTCTCCAGAGGCAGGCCCGCCCGTGAGTTACAGCTCGGACGGAAGCTGCTGGAGCAGAGCGCGCACCGGGACCGCCGCGCAGGGAGGCAGGAGAGCGCGAAGGAGAGAGCACGCGGGGCTGACAGAATTCGTGTCTGTTTCAGGAAGTGAGGGAGCTGGTTTGGTGGACTTGATGAGAAAATAAGCTTTGAAAGAGCACCTTTTCCCATCGGTGCCAGTTAAATGTTGCTTCTGAGATTCTCTAGAAAGATTTAACTCCCAGACTGAAAGCTGCCTTATTTCTTCGCCTAAGAATAAGGTCTTTTGAAATTTTAAGTGTTTGTGAACTCATCTTTCTTTGGAGACTAGGGTGCTTATAATAAAATCTGGGACACCTGAAGAGGTCCCTGAGTGCACTTGACTTCAGTTTCAGACCGCCGTGGCTCAGGTAAACCCCGACCAAAGAGTGAAGGTTTCGAGCTCTATAACAGTTCAGCTCAAAATGGGTCTCCCGAGAGCCCTCAGCTGCCGTGGGCAGAATACAGCGAACTGAAGAGACTCCCTGGCGACGACAGGCTGACGAAGAATCGGGCTGACCACCGCTCCAGCCCCAACGTGGCCAGTAAGTCGGACCGCCGTGGCTGCACCTCCCCCGGCCCCGCTCCAGCCCTCGTCCCGACGGCGTGCACAGTGCCGGTGGGAAACGAGGACCACACCTGTGCTGTCTCAGGTAGCAAAACAGTACTGCCTGCCTGTACTGGCGAGGTGTGCTTCCGTGAGTGGGAGCCATAGCACCGTTCTCCCAGCAGGTAATAAAAACAAAGTTAGGAGACACCGTTGATTGCATCGGTGCTCTAGGGGAGTACATTGACAATGTCTGTAGCAGGAGGTGGCGAATGGTTTTTATACTTTTAAAGGGTTGTTAACCAGAAGAATCAGTCTACAAGGCCTGAAATAGTTACTGCCTGGCCCGTTGCCAGAGGATTTGCCGACCCCGATCTATAGAGAACACTTTGTGGCCCTGGGCTCTGATGATTCAAGAGGTGGGAGTAGGGGGGCGCCTGGGTGGCTCAGTCGGTTGAGCATCCAACTTGGGCTCAGGTCGTGATCTCACGGTTCATGGGTTCAAGCCCCACGTCAGGCCCTGGGGTGACAGCTCAAAGCCTGGAGCCTGTCTTTGGATTGTGTGTCTCCTTCTCTCTATGACTCTCCCCTGCTTGTGCTGCCCCTCCCTCCCTCCCTCCCTCTCTCTCTCTCTCTCTCTCTCATAAATAAATAAAACATTAAAAAAGGTGGGGAGTGGGTATGATGAGCCCTAATCTCTCATATGCCCCAGTTTTCACCTCCGAGCTGACTCCTCACTGGCCTTTGGAAGATGCTTGATGCATGCTCACTACCCGTAAAGAACATACCATGACATTCTGTGACATCGAGTTGTCTCTCTAATAGTGAACTTCCTTTTCCTTGCTTCTTTCCAACAGATCAGCCTCCTAGTCCCGGAGGGAAGAGTGCATATGCCCCTGGAGCAGCCACTAAGATCACGTCCGTCTCCACTGGAAACCTCTGCACTGAGGTCTGAGCGAACAGCACACTGTTCTCACTGCAGTGAGCCCCTAAACGATCCCCTAACTCTGCCACTCTGCGCGTTAGCATTGTCTGTAATTCCTGAGAACTGCTTTTTTAAAATTTTTTAATATAATAGATAAACTAGTCTTAAATTAATAAGGCAGGGTAAAATAAAATGTTTCCCATTATTCCCAGTATAGGATCAGACACATTTTTAACGCGGTTTTTAAAATACATGGAAACTACATTTTAAAACAGAATATCGGAAATTAAATTAGTCTGTGTGCAAGTGTCCAGAAGCTCACTTCCCTGTCTTCACGCGTTGCAGGAGCAGGCGCCTCCCCCCCGGCCTGAAGCCTACCCCGTCCCCACCCAGACCTACACCAGGGAATACTTCACGTTCCCGGCTGCCAGATCCCAGGACCGCATGGCTCCCCCTCAGGACCAGTGGCCGGGTTACGAGGAGAAGCCTCACGTGCACACCGATGGCCTTCAGTCCGGAGCCACCATCCAGGTCAGGGAGGACACTGCGGGCACCTGCAGCCCTCAGAGACGCACTGGCTTGCGGGGGTGGCGGGGGGCAGTGGGGTGGTCCGAGTGCTTTCTGAGATACAGTTGATGTGCTCTGTAGGACACTGCTGTCCTACACGGTCTCGTGGGTGACTCAGGGAGAGGGGCCCGGGAGGGATACTAAATGTACAAAGGAATTCTGTGTTCTCTTGAAGTTTGATTGACAAGGTGTTAAGAACAGTGCACCTTAATGACCGTCTGTAAGGTGGGATCTGGGATCCAGGGAGTGAGAAACGAGTGGTGTGTCGTTTTCCTTGTTCACACCAGAAGCTGTCCCGAGTGCTGGGATGCAGGCGTGACCAGGGTCCCTGCCCATGAAACTGACAGTATGGTTGGGAAGTTAGACAGAGGAAGTGAATACGGCGTAGTAGGTACTGCTGGAGACGTGGGTCCCCGCCAAGCCACTGGCGCCGGGCCTCCCGCCACACGTCACAGCTCTGAAGGAAGAGGGTTTCAGACCAAGGCAGGAGGCGGGCCTCTGAGGGGGAGGCCGTCACAGACCTTGGCAGCCTGGAGCCACACGGAAGGGCTTGAGGTGACAGGAAGATGGAGGGTTCAGATTTTCTCCAGGTCAGTAGAGAAGGACTGTCGGTCTGGGCGATTGAGCTGGGGACCGCTATCAGGTGGGTCCTTGTGTTTGGAAAGAGAGATTTGCGTCGTGAAAGACTGGGAGAAGTCAGATGTACACTTAAAGACAGGTACGGTCTAGGGTCACAGAACCAGGCCCGGATAGTGCGCTCCGGACTTCACTTGCAGTGGCTACAAGGGACTGGGGCTGAGGTGGGACTGAGCTGAGCCGAGAGGGGGGTGGGGAGCAGAGGAGGGGGTCACCCTCACAGGAGGCAGCATGGACAGCAAGGAAGAGCCTCGGGTCCGTCCTGCCCCGTCCCTACCAGAAGCTCAGTCGCTCTGAGAGCGTTGGATGCCCCCCCCCCCCCGCCCCCGCCCGCCTGACCAGCAGGCCGGAGCAGACTGCGAAGAGAGACGCTTCTCCAGATTTCCGTCGTGTGCCCTGCTCCCTCACCAGGGAAGACCCGCTGCCCATACGTCAAGAGTCCACACGCTGTCTCCTGTCTTACGGGAGTAGCGTTTGTAAGCATCCACGTTCACGTTCGTGGCGTGCATCTGCTGTCTGCTTCCGCCTCACACATGGGTAGCCACCTAGAAGAGGAGGTCGGGAAACCGGCACGTCTGGGTGCTGGAGAGTCACTTATTTGGATCGTGAAATGACTGAGAATAAGGAGAGGACTTGGTGGGGGCGCATCGGGAGCTAGAATGAAGTCTTTGAGGAAAGTGGGGGGCTGACCCGGGGGGCTGGGAACCAGGTCCTGCGGCGCCAAGGAGGAGCAGGTGTACAGTCTGAGGCGTGAGCTCCCCACGTTCATGCTTTCGGAGGATCTTTTCTGCACATCATAATCATAATCATAATCATACAGTGAGCTCGTGAACCACGTGGGTCTGAACTGTTCACGTCTGCTGTTATGCACATTTTCTCCATACGGTGCTCTGTTTTCTCATCCTTATGGTTTTGTGACAGTATTTTCTTTCCTGTGGTTCGTTGGAAGATACAGGAAGTCCGTCAGGAGACATCGTCCGGTGCTGATGCACTGCTTGTGCTCCAGGCATGGCTTCCAGTCAGCAGCAGGCTGTTAGTAGGAAGTGTTTGGGGGAGTCAAAAGTCGTACGTGGATTTTTGACTACTCTGGGTTTGATGCCCCTGTCCCCTGCCTTGTTCGAGACTCCGCTACCGTTTTGTGCTTCAGTCTATGTCTCTAGTAAAGCTGTAGCAAGATTTTGGTAGTAAATGTTACATTTTTCTATCAGGCTACTGTGTTTTCAAGTGATATTTCATTTTTTTCTTGTTGGCTTATTTTTTAAGGAGAGGGAGACTGTTTATTTTCCAGATTTGCATCTTCAATTTCTACACATGAACAGCTCAGGGAAAAAATGTTTGACCTCCTGGCGAATCATTTCAATTTAAGCTTTTTGACATGCCGGTTTTCAGACTTGAGTCTAGCCCTTTGAAACAGCGTATTTGTTTCTGTCCGACACACACACACACACACACACACACACACACACGTTCATGTTCAGTGTTTGACCTCCTGGCGAATCATTTCAGTTTAAGCTTTTTGACATGCCGTTTTTCAGACTTGAGTCTAGCCCTTTGAAACAGCGTATTTGTTTCTGTCCGACAGACACACACACACACACACACGTGTTCATGTTCAGTGATTGCCCGCACCATGGCCTCTACCTTTCTTTCCAAGACTGGAACAGAGAGGCTCAGGTGTGCAGCCTGTCGCTGCGGGGACCGTGGCTCAGATGGTGAAGATTTGAGAGCTACTCTTACTTCGAATTTTATGACGCAGAAGTAAATTCTGTTGCTCTTCACATAGACCGAACACTCTCCTCCTTCTGCAGTCGGTGGCGTGAGAAAGCCCAGCGGAGATGCGTGCGGGCGAGCGCGAGCCGGGAAGGGTGCCGGCTGTGCCGCGCCTGGCCTTCCGTGCGCTGCGCTGTTTCCGACAGTGATACAGAGAAGGGAGCACGGCCCTTCCCTCTTTTTAACCGGAAAACCACTGACCCCCCACACTGCCTCAGGGTGTCCCCGCACCCAGAGACCTGGGCAGCCTCCACCTCTCTGTGTAGCCCACTGAACGGTTTCTCCCTAGAGATGAGATATTGGTGAGTCTTTAATTTTTTTTCTACACGGCTGAAACGTAACAGGTTTCCGTGTTCCGTCTGCAGCGTGTTACCCGCTCCCAGGAGGAGCTTCGGGAGGACAGAGCTTACCAACAGGAGCGCCATCGACCGGAGGCCGTGCTGGATCACAAGTCCGACAGCGACGTGTGGGCCCGCCCGAGCCCCTCGGCGGGCTCCAGCGCGTCCAGCCAGGAGCACCTGGACCCCTGCTCCAAGCCGGGCACCCCCGCCTCCACGCTGACCAAGAGCGGCCCCGGGCGCTGGAAGACGCCGGCCTCCGCGCAGCCCCTGCCGGCGGCCGCCCCGGCCACCCCGACAGACCTGCCGCCGCCGCCCCCTCCGCCCCCCGCGCACTACGCCGGGGACCTGGACGGGCTCCCCGCCGAGCTGCCCCAGCCGCCCGCTCCCGGCGGCCCAGTGGCCGGCGCCGAGCGGAGGAAGCGAGAGGAGCAGCAGCGCTGGTACGAGAAGGAGAAGGCGCGTCTGGAGGAGGAGCGGGACAGGAAGCGCCGCGAGCAGGAGCGCAGGCTGGGCCAGATGCGCGGCCCGGCCCCGAACCCCGCGCCCTTCCCGCCGGCGGCCGGCCCGCACGCGAAGCCCGAGAAGGCCGCCCCGCCGCAGCGGCCGCAGGAGACCGTCATCCGGGAGCTGCAGCCGCAGCAGCAGCCGCGCACCATCGAGCGCCGGGACCTGCAGTACATCACGGTGAGCCGGGAGGAGCTGCCCGCGGGGGACAGCCTGTCGCCCGACCCCTGGAAGCGCGACGCCAGGGAGAAGCTGGAGAAGCAGCAGCAGCTGCACATCGTGGACATGCTGAGCAGGGAGATCCAGGAGCTGCAGGGCAAGCCCGAGCGCAGCGCCGAGGACGGCGACCGCCTGCGCAAGCTCCTGCTGGAGTGGCAGTTCCAGAAGCGGCTGCAGGAGTCCAAGCAGAAGGACGAGGACGACGAGGAGGAGGAGGACGACGACGTGGACGCCGTGCTGATCACGCAGCGCCTCGAGGCCGAGCGCAGAGCGAGGGTAAAGGGGAGCAGTGCTGGGGGCGCGGGGCGCGGGGGGCCGCAGCCGGCCTGGGAGGCGTGGGCTCCGGAAAGCCCGGCTGCAGTCCGGCCGGAACTGCGCCGTGTGCCGCAGCAGGCTCCCGCTTGTCCCTCTCGTTAGCGCTTCGGTAGAGAGACCGAGTTCATAGCCGCAGCCGCGTTCACGGCCAGGAGCAGCGCTCCCCGGGGGTCGGCGGGGCTTTTTTCTTAAAGGGCCAGATAGTGAGAAAACATCAGAGGCTTTGTGGGCCAAACCCTTGGTCCTGACGGCGGCGCCTGCCCGCCACACGGCCAAAGCCACCGTGGCCGGTGCACAAGCGGGGAGAGCCGTGCGCCGGGGGCGCCCTCACTGACGGGGGCAGGACACCTGCCGAGCCCGGTCCCGGTCGTCAGCACGGACGCTGGGTGACTAAGGCGACTGTTGAGAATCTCTGAGTTGTGGTCTCAGACTGGCTGTACGGCTGACGAAGCAGGTATTAAACGAAACCGTTCTGTTTCAGCGGTAGTGGAAAGATCCGGAGAACTCAGAGTTTTCATTTTACTTCTCCATTTGATAAAAGCAGTTGTTCCTTTTGTATCACATAAAAGAAGTAAAGTTTATGTTAGTTTAATGCAGTAGATTGTTAAAATGCCAGATTTAAGACTCTCTGTTACCCTGTCAGGAGAGTTGCTGACAGAGAGGCATTTACCGGTACGAACCTGCGGACAGTGCTCTGGGCCTTGTCACGTTAGGAGGTGTTAACACAAGGCAGTTTCTGGGAAAAGACAGCCAAGACTGTGTCTTCTGGATTTTGTTTCTGATTGCCACTTGCACTCCGTGCTGTCTGTACAGAGATCCAAACAGATAACGGTTAGGTCAGGGGTTTTGATCTTTCTACATCATGATGCAGTTTCACGTTAGATCACCGTGAGTGCGCACAGCCAGCCGTCTGACCAGGGTCGCCCTGGGAATCTTTTCCTGAAACATGACACATACCTCTCACGATGTGTTCTCAGCAGAAGGAACGTGGAACTTGACCCAAACTTCAGCTGAACGAAAACCCAAATGTTAAGTGTGACATTATGTCATCAGTATTTTCCAAGTCACCAGTAACAAACTCCTTAAAGCCCATCAGTGCTACTTTTCCATCGGTGCTACTTGATTTCAAAGATTAACTGCTTAGTGATGTGTTACTTGTAGCCTGAGAATTCTCTGGGATCAGGACTCTGGTGTCCACCGTGTAAACGGTTGGCTGAGTGCTCAGTGCAGGGTCCTCCCCCCTCCTTGGCCAGCACCACTGGCGGCAAGACGGCATTAAAGGAGCCGAGTGTGGCCCCGGCCCGACGCCCCTGGCCGCAGGACACAAGAAAACAGTGATGTTTACTGCAGTTCAGACTGAATCGAAAGCGATGTCTATGGTAAATAAGTAGACGTCATTAGCGTTTACCGTTGTAACTCCATCCCGTAGAGAAAAGTGAACGACTGCATTGTAGTATTTCTGTAATTACTCTCAGCTGCAAGTTTTTATTAAAGATCCGTCAGGTTTTCCAAGTGGTTCAGACAGTGACTGTTTCAAAGCCTCATAGTAAGAACTATGATATTTGGAAAGTTTCTTACAATCGTTTTAGTTAAAAGTGTTTCCATATTCATCATTAATCGTATTTAAGATCAATGTCTTGGTCTCCACGTAACAGAGTTCAGGGAAATTTTACTTTTCACAGCGCCCTCTGTGTATCGTAATAACAAAACTCAAGTGTCGAATCCCACGTGGACCTTTCCCTGTGTCCGGGCGCCAGAGGTCCGCGCGCCCTTCTTGCTGAGCTCACCAGGCTGCCCTCCAGCCGCAGGGGCCGCATGGGAGCAGCGAGCACGCCGGGGTGGAATATGGTCTAAACTGGACTTTTTTTTCACACTTCATCTTTCTTTTTGTTTCCTTCTCTGTTACCTGCAGCAGACTGCTCTGCCAGCAATCTCTGTTCTAGATTTGGTATGTTCTTGTTTCTTTCCCTTTGGTACTTTTTCCTGTCTTGATTTTCTTTTTTTCTGTTAGTGGTGGTGGTTTGTGTTCCCAGTAGACGCAGCTCCTCGGGGTGTCCTGGCGCAGGCGTGTGATTCCGGGACTCGAGAAGCATGCCTTTCCGTGTGTTTAGATTTAGTTACTCCTTGCTTTTCTCCATTAATTTTAAATGTTACTGTTTGTTTATGGTTTTGACCTTTTCAGTTTTAGTCACAAAATAACTCTGTATATTTTTACGTAGTCAAAAATACAGGAGCAAATGAAAGATATTCTGCAATAAATAACCTGTTTCATTCTCGTTAACCCTGGTAATAGAGTTTGAATAACCAGCTGTTAGAAACTCAGCCGAATTGGTATTCATGTAGTTTTGCCGGTTAAGACGTCACTGTCTGGGATCTGTCTGTGGATAGGATAAGAGAGCTTTTCAGTAAACGTTATTCTGTTCTCTCTAATAATTTCATGTATCTCAGCCGGGTTTACCAGCCATCTTGTCTGCTGAAAAATACCTGACGTCTCATTCTGTTGTCGGTTCAGGGTTTTGTTTGTTTTTTTGTTTTGTTTTTGAAGGGGAGCGCAATCTGGGGTGTGGGGGGTGGGAACAGAGGATCAGAAGCAGGCTCCATGCTGTCAGCACAGAGCCTGACGTAGGGCTCAAACTTACAAACCATGAGATCACGACCTGAGCCAAAATCGGACACCCAACCAGCTGTGCCCCTCAGTTTGGTGTGTCTGGCGTCCATGCTGGGGCCATGCGGTCAGCTGTGTAGAGTGATGCTATCAGGGTCACCGGCCAGCTGATCCTACACTGGCTGATACAGTCAGGACGACTTGAGTCTGCTCTTGTTAGTCAACTTTTGAAATGAGTAAGGACAGGATCAGACAGTACTTTTTTTTTTTTTTTTTTTTAAATATTTTATTTATTTCTAGGAGAGAGAGAGAGACCGCATGAGCAGGGGAGGGTCAGAGAGAGAGGGAGACACAGACTCTGAAACAGGCTCCAGGCTCTGAGCTGGCAGTCAGCACAGAGCCCGACGCGGGGCTCGAACCCACGAACCGTGAGATCATGACCTAAGCGAAAGTCAGGCACTTAACCAACTAAGCCACCCAGGCGCCCCCAGACAGTACTTTTAAAAAGTCCCTAAATCTAGGTTTGACTTTAATGGCCTTTTAATCAGTATGATGAAAACAATGGCCTTATTTAAACAGTGCGGTGGCCTTCCCATCCACAGAGAAGCCTCTCTTGGAAACCCCCCCACCCCATGATTGAAGAGCATATTTTTTTTAGCTTTACCTTTTTTTTTTTTTTCTTTCACGTGAGACAAAGACACAATGTGTATGTTTTCTCCATACTGGCTCGTGTGGTGAGGTGCACCTGTGGTGGGTGGCTGGGAGTTACCAGTGAGGGCAGATTCTTCCATGCGATGCTCTGGGCATCCGTCACCCACCAGGTACTGACCCGAGCCACTGGCTGTAAGAAATCTTCCCACCCTGCAGGCCCAGTGAGAATCTTTTCTGCAGATTATATGACAGATAGATAATGTCAGGGATGAAGAATGACACTAGGATTTGTGTTTTGAAAACACAGTTCAGAGTTTTTCTTTAAAAGGTCATTGTTTTATTACTATCGACCTTAAGCACCGCAGCCCCGAGCGTCTCTGAGCCTCGCTCCCCAGTAGGTGCCGCAGTCACTGCCAGCAGCGTCCTCACGTCCTCAGGGAGCCGCCTCGGCCAGCCGGCCGTCCTCTCGCCCAGGTGAGGGCGGTGCCCCAGGTGCGAGCCGAGTGTTGGACGGCTCCCTGCACGGCTGTGACGGCGTCTCATGGCATGACGGGGGGTTGTGAGTGGGGCAGGTGCTCTGTCGGGAGCAGCCCACAGTCTCCATGAGCTTAGGGGTGGGGGTGCCCTCCTGGCTCTGCTCTTCCTCTGGATTTGCAGTGATGGGCACCGATTTGCAGTAACTGGCCCAGCCCGGCCTCTGTCCTCCAGACCCGGGAGCTGTAGAAGCCACGGACTCCGGCGTTTGCATTTCTAGCCCCAGCCTCTGCCTGGTCCACACTTCCACCTGGAGTCAGACAAGACTTTTCAAAGCTCAGCGTGTATGAACCCCCCATCCCTCCCGACATACTCCTCGCCTGCCTCCAGCCGTCCCCGTTTCAGCCAATTGTTGTAACTGTTCGGTCTAATGGTCTTACTCACCATAACGCTCTTTATCTCTCCATCGAGCAATTCTGCTGTTTTTACTGCTCAGGATCTGACCACCTCAACACCGCGCTGGCCTGAGCCGCTGCTGTCCCCGCCTGGCTCAGTGTAGAGACTTCTTTGAGTCCCCTCTTCTGCGTTTGTGCCCCGTATTGCAGGCTGTTCTCAGCACAGCAGCTGCAGCAATACTGTTGAAGAACGTCACATCTCAGGAGTCCTTAGAACCCTGTCACTTAGAGAAACGTCCGAGTCTTCCCATGGGCACAAGGCACTGCTGTTCCTTACATCCCTTTGCACAGGCAGAGGTCCGCCCTCCCCGTAGCTGCACCGGGCCCCGCTCACATCTGCAGGGCAGGGACAGGTGATCTGCCTTCGTGGCCCTGGGTTGCCAGATAATTACACGCACTGTCCTCTGGTTTCTTTATAACAACCTTGTGATGTGGGTGGAACAGAAGGGTAAGCCCAGTAGTGAAGACGTTCACCTAATGTCGCATGGAGTGAGAGGGAGGGTTCTTCCCAGGATCTCCTGAGTCTGTACCGACTGTTGTAAAGGCCTTCTGGTCACAAAGCCCCGCCCGGAGCCGCCTTCCAGCTAGAGGCGGGCACGGCCTGGCCGGCTCTCAGCTGCCTGGTCTCCGGCTCTGTCCGGCTACCGCTTCAGCGGCTGGTCTGCCAGCTCCAGTGACCCAACAACAGCTCCAGAGGAGGATTCCCCCACCTCGGGTGGTACCAGCCACGTGACGCTTTCAGCGCTTTTGGTGGCTCTGCTGCTGACGTGGTGGGGAGGCCCGGGCTGGGTCTGCCCTTAGGCTGCCTCCTGCCTGCTCTCCACGCGGGACCGAAGGCATTGGCCACACTGGGGGCTGACCAAAAAGCGTGATGATAAAAACCTCAAGCAGGAGTTGGTAGGAAACCCGGCTGAGAGTTGCATGTGCAGAGAAGTCCCCCGAAAACCAACTTGTCTGCGTGTCGGAGTAGAACACAAGCTCGTGTGATTGATTGGAAGATGGACAGTTGCCCTGGGGAACTGTAGTACGTGGTGGGCCCCCGACGCGGGCTTGCCCCCCGACGCGGGCTCGCCCCCCGACGCGGGCTCACCTGGCCCTGCCGCCAAGTGTTTCAGCAGCCGAGCTGCCCATGTTACAGCTGCTAAGGAAGCTGGCATTGTCCTTACATGGGAAGGGCAGGGCCATGGGCTCTGCCCAGGGAAGAGACTCACGCCCTGAGTGCCCAGAGTCGTAGAGATGGCTTTCGCCATGAAGAAACACAAAGTGAACTTCCTCTCTGGTGTGGGGCTCGTGGCCAGAGTCGGGCTCTGAACCCCAGTCAGGTGCCTGAGCCCCATAGGAGCAAATGGCCTGAGCACGGGGGGGTCCTTCACTGCGGGGCCTCGCGAACAGGTGGGAACATATGCAGACCAGACTTGCCTTTGGCCTCACGGGGTAACCTGCTTAGCAGGCTTCCAGTGGCATTTTCAGCGAAGATACCAAACCCTGAAGGACACGTTGGCCCTGAATTGTATTCCAGCATCTCAACAGGGCCGTCTCCTTTAGTGCAGTTTTTGTCGTCAATTAAAGATGCGAGTTCCTGTCTTCTCGTGGCCTAAAGTTATAGACACGCAGATCGCTACATTACAGATTTTCTTTTTCTAACATGAGGATAAAATGAGGGCCACCAGCATGGCAAAAACGGCCAGGCTTGCAGCCCTGGCTTCTGGACCCCTGCTTAGCTCTTGGCTGAGAATAACTATGGTTTGGACTGATTCCAGCCATGAGAATTACGGTTACATCTCGTCACACCCGTTCCCCTGGACGTAGCTTCCGGCATGCAGTTTCAGCAGCACCCCACGCTTCATTCTCCAAGGGTAAACCAGTGAGCCTGTGTCCTTTTCATTTCACCCCAAGGTTAACACAGTCTGTCCTTGGACCTCAGCCTTTATTAACTGTGTGACTTAAATTGAAATGCCCTTTAACTGGTACTGAAAGTAAGTAGACCGCCCAGCGTAGTGAACCATTTTGAGCTAACTTGGAGTAAAGAGGGTAGTTGATCATTCGTGTATCGTTAATGCTTTGGGGGTAGGCGGGTGGAGCAGAGCAGCGCCTGTGGGAAGAACGCAGGACTGTGAAGCCGCCTGCCGCCTGCCGCCTGCCGCCTGCCAGGCAGCGCGCAGAGCTGCCTCGGTCACGGCAGCCCAGCTTCAGTGCTGACCGTGAGAATGGGAGCCGGGGGACTTAACGCTGGAGAAGCTTCCTCGCTTACGCCCATCCCAAATTGCAAGAATGAAGGTTTTTAACAGAAAATGCCCATTTATAGATTTGTAAGGTAGCATTCCTTACTTGTCATTATGAGACTTAAAATTGTTCTCATTTCTGAAAATGATGCTTCTCACCGTGGAGGACCGAGAGGGCTGTTTCAGCGTCTGCTGTTGTGCTCAGACTTGTTTTTAATTGGGTCTAGAAGGTACAGCAGGATGACCTTGTCTGTGTAGAACGTCGGCGCACTTTTACACCCTCCCATGAACCGCTCTTCTGTACCATATCGAGTACTATCAGCTGCTGGTTTTATTTGGTTATTTTTACTTGGGTGCCGTTTCTCACACTTTGGACCGATGAGTGTAAATTGGTTGACATACTGGCGCTGCTGGCCGCCGGGGGCTCCCCGGTGGAGGCCAGCCCTGCACAGCCCGCGGGGCCCTCCCGGTTCGGCCACGTCAGCAGCCGCTCCTGCTGCTCCGAGCCCCTCACAGCCAGGGATCCCAGCATCCCTCCTGGGCTCAGGCCTGGAGTGAACTAAACAGGAAATTAAGTACATTTGTCTTGTTGAGGAGGAATTTTATCTAAGATGTCATATTGTCTGCTGACCTGAAAAGTCTAATGACACAAGTTGATTTGTTACTTTCCCACCAGATGCAGCCTTTTTTCCACTGAAATATAAGGCAGGAGTGAAGTTGTTAGGGTATTATTTAAAAACAAATACAAATACAATTCACATCCAGTTTCTTTTTGCTGTGAGCAGTTTCTACAATAACCGGTCATTCTGTAAATACTGAAGCACACCATGAGTGGTTTTATGTGAAGGATTCCTGCAGGGGCTTTAACAACTAGATGGTATTGAGGTACGTTTTAATTTTTAAAATTTTCAATCAACTCCCTGAGGCCAGGTGGCACAGCGCTGTGGGCAGTGCTGCAGACCAGCTCTGTGACAGAAAGGAAGACCACGGAACAAAGGAGAAGCAAGCTTTCGAAGTTGCCGTTACCTGGAACTGTAACAACCAAGGGGCATTTTACTCTGTTCTCTTCTAGTCCAGTGTGCTTTTAATCCAAGGATCCTTGTGGAAAAGGTATTCCCCGCTCAGGCTCCTGCCTGTAGCACGTAGAAGAATCTGACCAGAGGGCAGAGGAGCTGAGGAGCAGAGAGAGGCTGCATCTTGGCCCACTCACGTTTGCATGGTGTGCCGCCAGCTGTGTTGCGTGTTGTTTCGACAAAAACAGAAAACAGTCCAGTCCCATCATGAACTGTGGACCCACAGAAGAACTTCTGTAGCAGCGGTTGCTGGGACGTAGAATTCACTGTCCCGGGAGCGGGCCGTGGGCTCCCGGACGCCAGGATCGCTCAGACAGATGGAGAAGTAACTTGGCAGAGGGCTGGTAGCAGAAGAGGCGGCGTGCGGTTCCTCCCGGAGTTCAGGTTCAGGTTCTTGGACTCCAGAGTTTGGGGCTCTCCCCAGGCTGAGAAGTAACTCTCCAAGTCCAGGATGGGGGCCAGAGGGAGCCGATGGCCAGCGGTCGGCGTGCAGCCCCGGGGTGCCGCCGGGGCGTGTGCCGGCGCGGGGGCACCTGGGGTCTGTGTGCCCCAGCCCACGGGAGTGCCGACCGGAGGGGAGGAGGGTGGGGGAGAGGGCGGGAGGGGGGCTGCGCGCGCCCCGCAGCTGCCTCAGCGGAGGGCCTGTGTGCCGCGTGACTGTGTTGGTGCGCGTGAGCCGGCCACAGTCCAGCTGAGGGGCGGTGTGGGCGTGCGGGACAGGTCCCTTCTTGGGGCCACACTCCTGGAAACATTAAGGGCACTGTGGGGACGGCGCTGCTTTTGAAAGTGTCGAGCTGTAAAATGTGTATGTTTTACCGTCTTTCAACAGTGATCTGCCCAGGTGTTTCGTATTTGATGTTGTGTGTGTGTCCGCCCGTGACAGTGTGTGCTGCGCGCCCGTGCTGCCCGAGTGTGCGGAGCGGAAGCTGACGCCCCTGCCTTGTTAGTTACAGGACGAGGAGCGGCGGCGGCAGCGGCAGCTGGAGGACCTGCGCCGGCGGGAGGCGGAGGGGCGCGCCCGGCAGGAGGCGGAGGAGCGGACGAAGCGGGACGCCGAGGACAAGGTTATGGTCCTGTAGGGGCGGCTAGAGGCTTCCCGGCTTAGCCTGAACCCGATGGATGGGCTGGGGCACGGGGGCTGCGAGCCACACAGGACAGGGCCCGGACCCCCCTCCCTGGTTATCGGACCGGAAACTGGAGCCCGGCCCGGCCCGCCTCTCCTGGACGGTGTCCACACCCTCCTCCCTGGGGCCCGTCTCTCTCCCACTTGTGAACTCGCAGTCCTGTCGGCCACCGAGCCTCCGCCCGGCCGGCCCGCCGCGTCAGGGCCCTGCCCGTTCCTGGACGTGCCCCCTGGCCCCCCGCTGGGCTGAGGGTGGTGCCCGCGCGGGTGTCCTGCGGTTGGAGCTCGGTGGGCCGTGGAGCCCCAGGAGCGTAGGCGAGCTGTTCACACCGCGCTTTTCAAATAGGTTCTTCACTGAAACTACTCAGTTCTCGTTGGTGGTCGACAGGGCAGGTAGCTTCTAAAAAATGTGGTACGAGGAAAATTCAACTAGTGTGTGATCTGATTAATATCCTGAGTTGTTACTGTTTCCACATGTGGATTCTTTTCATGAAAGTAATTTTTTACACGAATTTTAAAATGACAGCTAATCTGAGAAACGGGACCGCAGCGTGTGCACAGCCGGCCCTGAGCGGCACGCCCGGTGTGCGGCCTCCCGCGGAGACGCCTGTGGCCTGGCGAGGCGGGAGGCGCCGGTCTGCTCCGACGCTTCCCTTCTGTGAAGGCGGGAGCCGTGAGCGCACCGCTTCTCTGGGGGGAGAGATGCAGTTTGCGTTCCCGATTCCCTCTTAGGTAGCCTGGTGGCCTGTATCAGTAGCACCCTCCTCCCCCAAAAAGAGCTTTTAGGAAACGCTGTGTAGTGAGCTAATCGTCTGGATGTATAACCAGTGAAAAGCAAAATTGGCAGAAACAACGTGATTCATTTAAACGAAAGGAGAATAATAAGTCTAGGACACGAATCTGTGTGAAAAGTAGCATTTCTACGTCTTCTAGACCCTCACGGTTCCTGGCTCTCATCCTGGGGCCTGTAGCAGCTGCGTCCACGGAGCTTCCGCAGTCTCGGAAGCAGCCTGAGCTCGCAGGCCTAGGTGCCCCGGCGCCTTCCGGTTGTGTCGGGAGGAGTCACAGGCAAAACCGGTTTTCCGAAATGGGAGACCGTGGCTTGTCCGTGCGGGGGTGTTGCCGGGCCCCGGCCGCCCGCACTGACCGCGGGGCACGCGTGTGCTGTGCTCGGGCCCGCAGCTCCCTGCCTTCTCCGGCGTGAGCCCTGGCAGCTCACCCGTATGTCACACACGCTGGGGTCTCAGGAACTGCTGCTAGAGCTGAGTGGTCCCTGGAAAAGCTGAACAAGCCCTTTTTTACCCACAGTGTCCACAGTCGACAGGCTTGCTTTGTTACAGAAGAACGTGCCGTCCGTTGGTCGGATGGCCTGTCTGGTCACGTCATCGAATCTGCTCTTAGTGTAACTACAGGGATACGTGCTTTGGTCTCCTCTCAGAATGTCAGGCAGCTGCTGCTGCTGTCACACTAAAGGCCACAGAGCTCGTTCTGGATTCGATTCCCCTCCTTAAGCACTTACTTTGTGTAGAAAACAAGGTAAAAGATGTCTCAACGCAGAGTAAGAAGATAAAGTGAGAAACTGGGTCCGTGACTGGGGTGAGCTGGTGCCTGACCTCGGTGCTTCCTCCCTCGGAAGGGGAAGCGTGGGCACTGTCGTCACTGCGTGCGATGCTGGGGGCGGGGGGGTAGGGGGCAGGGAGCAGACGGCGAGCGTACGCCTCCTGGTGGGGACTGGAGGCCTGGAACGCCAGCACGGTCCCTGCGGTTAGCTCTGGGGTTCTGGTCGCGGGGACTTGAACCCACTCCCTGCACTCTGCAGCTGCCCAGCATCCCTCTCTCACAGCCGCTCTTCGTGTGTTCTGGAACCTGTCCATCTTTAACACAACTGTGCTGTTATCTTTTTTAATGTTAAAATAATTTTAACGCTGTCAACTGTAGTTTGTGCAGATGTATGTCGGAAAGAAATGTACAGTATGTGTCAAATATACTTGAATATCGTGTTGCTGTTGCTGTTGATGCCTGGCTCTCTCACTTTCTGTCTGTCAGGGAGTGGACACTTTGAAATGTAAACTAAGAACTGCGCAAGCGGGTCCATTAGGTTGTTGCCCTGGGGAAATGAGTGATGTTTTTTTACAGTTTATGGTTTCTGTTAACTTCTCTGAATAACTGGAAATAAACCAGGTGACTTAACTTTCCTTCCGGTGAAGGCAGGGCTGCTCTCTGCACCCCGGGGCTCGGTGAGACCGCGGGCGCGCGGCTGTAGAAAGCCAGCTAGAGCCTGTTTGGGTCTGGTTTTGTCTTTAGAGCCAGCAGTAACGTAACAGGTAAGTCAGCGCCCCGCCAGAGCAGGAGACAGAGACCGAGAGAAGCAGCCGAGAACTAGCGGGGTCTGGAGGAATCACGGAGTGGGGACGGGGTGTCGGGTCGGAAGCCAGAGATTGTACCTGGAGGTCCGTGCATCCCACGCTGCGGCACGGTTTACGGCCACTGACTCCCCAGTGGCGTGCGCGTGTCCGTGCCTGCTGGTGGCTCTGCCCGCTTTTGTCCTAGAATGTTCTGTCGGAACTTTGCTGTCCCCTGGATTCGCGAGCAGTGTGCAGACGGGGTCAGGGGGTGACGCGTCTTTTCGCGCCCCGGGAAGTCCCCTCCTGACCCTGACCTTTGCACTTTTGTGTGTTCGGCCCGCAGAGGCGACAGGAAGAAGGTTATTACAGCCGCCTGGAAGCCGAGAGGCGCAGACAGCACGCGGAGGCCGAGCGCAGGCGGCTGGAGCCGGAGGGGCCAGGCCTGCGCAGACCTCCGCTGCCCCGGGGCTACGAGCCCCCGGCCCCGCCGCCCCCGGCCGCCGCCCCTCCTCCCCCGCCTCAGCGGACCGCCTCCTCCCTGCAGGCCCCGGCCCTGTCCCCAGACCCCCTGTACACCGCCAGGCTCGTTGCGTACCAGGAGGAGGAGGAGGAGGACCGCAGTCTGGCAGGTCAGGACGCGCGCTCCCGCGCCAGCAAGCCCCTCGCGCCCCGGCCGCGCCCGGCCGCCCACGGCCTCTTGCTCTCCAGCTCCCCGCAGCCCCTCTGGGCCGGAGCGGGCCTGCCCCCTCCTCCCCCTCCAAAGCCGCCCGGTTCCCACCACCCCCTCCACTTGAAAGGCAGAGGTAAAGCGTGGGGTCACGGGCTCACCAGTCAAGCCCCCTGTGCCTTCGCGATTGGCGGGGGGGCTCGCGGCCCCCATGGCGGGGGGTGGCTTATTGCCCTGACCAGCGCTCGCTCTGGCCTCTTGAGATCACTTGCTCACTGTCTCTCCTCCGGGTGTGAACGTGCTCAGGGCTGTGGCCCGCCGGGCCCCAGTCCTCGGCTGGCCCGGCCGCTCTCCGCCTCCGCTCTCCGCCTCTTCAGACGACTCTACATTTGCTTGAACGAGAGCTTTCTTGAACCACACGTTTTGGTGTCTGAAGATAAGATAGTCTCAGTCATGGTGTCACGGTCACACACACACGCAGTTTCGTTCTTTAACATGAATAGAACTTGTTTGTTCTGAGTTACGTGCCCTGTGGCGGGGTCACAGAGACGGCTCCTGCTTTCCGTGGTTAGTCTAGGGCGTGGTCCGTGCCACACTGGGGGGATGGCCCTGCCGTCACGCGAGCTGCCTCACGCTGGGGGCTGGGAACCCAGGCCTTGTGACCTCACTCCTCCCTCTAACTGGTCTCTCCTTCCTGCTCCGCGACACTCTGCACATCGCAACCCTAGTCAGACCTCGGCAGGCACACGTGGTCACCTTGAGGTAACGCATCCCATGACATCACTGCCCAGCGTGACAGCGGTCTTGTCTGTGCCGGGACCAGAAGGCCGCCGCAGGCGTGTCCGCAGCCACCAGTGTCCAAGACAGCACTGCAGGGATGTTTAAAATATAACCGAAAGTCGTAAGGAGTCAGACCCCCAAGGCCGTCTTCCCATCTGAGCTTTCTCGGATTTGGCGCTTTTCATGAGCACGAGGGCTCCCAACCCTCAGGCGTGAGGCATGGGGCTCACGATGCCCAAAGAAGGTGAAAAATCAAAGACATGGGCAACGCGGCTTTTCTGGAACATGGGGGTTTTGCCCAGGGTCTTCCCTCCTGCCCTCACGGTGCTCTGGTGCACCTAGAAGTTTCAGCCTCCGGTTCAGGCTGAGCCGCCCAGAAGCCAAAGTTCAGTCTCTGTAAAATCTCTGTCGTCAACACCTAGAAAGTAGGACCTCAAAGACTTTTATGTTATAATAGTCATTTATGAAGGGAGATGCCATCAGTCTCCTTGCACGTGACAAGCTGAACTTTAGATATTTTGTGTCGGGACACGAACAGGTGAGGTCCAGTGACGCGGCGTTGTGGTGAGGCCGCTTTGCCTTTCCCCCAAGAGCCAACACCTTGCACCTAAAAGACCTCACAGGGGCAGGGTCTGTCCTGCGTCTGCCTGCTCGCGCCTCTTTGAAGACTTCCTTCGTAAAGTCCAAGGCTGTCGGTACCCCGTGCAGGGCGCTTCTGACCCCCGCCTCTCCCTCACACGGCCGCACCCCGGGCTCAGCTCGCTCTCCTGTCGTGAGCACTCTGGGGAGGACGTGGACTTGGCTTCTTCCACTGGGCGCCGGGAGGGACAGAATCGGGCTCTGCGTTGGAATGAGTAATGTCCCACTCCGGCGTGGCAGTATACTTAAAAGTGTGCTTTAACTGGAGCTCTTTCAGAACTATTTGAAATATGTGGAATCAATGCGTACATAGTCTGCTGAAAGTAATATTCTGATTAACTTTGAAAACTTGGAAGAATTTATTTTTACCAGTGGAAGAAGCAAGTATCATTCTTGAAACAAAGCTCAAAAGATACGCTTTCTAAAACAAAGAAAATTTAGAGTTAAAGTTGAAAAAAATTCCACTCAGCAGATAGTTCATGCGAAGACCCACTCTGGGTTTCCCGAGGTTACAGATCTGGTCTACTCATCTTTTGAGTCTTTGTGGAGGGAGACTGCCTGTGGTGACTGCTGGGGGCCTTGCTGAGGGACAGGAAAGATGCAGTGCCCAGACGTAACCACACAGTCTGCACAGTATGTCCTGTCCTACAGAAAAGCAAAAATTGATTTTTGTGCAACTTGTCCAGCGTTGAAATACTGTAATAATTTTGCCGTTTATCTAATCCGATGTGCGGTGCCGTCAGCGTTTGCTGAGTATTTTGAGCATCATGCTCCAGCTCGCGTCCCCATAAGCAAAAGGTTCTTCAAACGTGACGTTTCTTTCTGCGGGTGTGATGAGAGCGTACATTAGTGCTGACACAGTGCATTACACTTCTAACGCCTCACCTCAGCAGTGGTGATATTATGTTTGGATGCACTTAAAATTTTTCTCTGCATCATCTCTTGACTGTCACCAACCCTGTAGAGTAGATAGGGCGGCGGTGCTGTCCCTGGACTGATTGGGTCCATCACCTCTGGCTGGGCCACGTGCAGGCAGAGCCGAGGACACGGGCCGAGTGCCCCACGGGCTCGCTCACTCCGGACATGTTGCTGCCTTGGGGTGTGTTTTGAGTGAGTTCATATCTGCAGCATTTATATCAGATGCGAGAGATTTTGGTGGCTCGTTTGAAAAGTTCTGTTTTACTAATGACAGCCTTGTGTGTAGGAAAACATCCAGTAGCTGTCCTGAAGAGACCCTTCAGTCACGTGATTCCTGGCATGGTTATTTGCCCTCCATCATTTTGTAAGGATGCAAAGCCAGGCGTGAGGCCTGGCTGACCCCTCCCCCCGTCAGCCCACCTTCTGAGTTCATGGTATCCGTGCATCTTGTCTGCTTTAACGTTGTGGCCGCTGCCAGCCCAGCGCTGTGCTGTCACAGCGCCTGTGGGGCGGCGATCGGGTGATGTGGCCGCTGAGAGGCGCACGCTGCGGGCTGAGGCCTCTCTCGTCCGTTTGAAGAGCCTTTTGCTTTTTATTCAGTGACGGCTTTTCCTTTTTATTCAGTGACGGCATCTCAGTCTTCTGTGGGCACTGCATCTCGATCATGGGCAAAGGTTTGGAGAGCATTCGGGTACTTTAACTTTGACTTTTTCTTTTATGGAAAAGGACCAAACTCCTCCGTGGGATCTGCCGGGGCAGTTGTCGGTGCCCGGGATGGCTGCTGGGATCCGAGAGAGAGGCTGGCGAAAAGGTATTGACAGCCGAGAGCCGCTTTGCAGAAGGAGCGCTTCCTCCCCCACATTGTTCTTGTATGAGGCTGGGTCGAAAGTTCAGGGACTTCATGATCAACCCAGACGCCTCTCCCAGTACACAAGGGTGCGAGCATGTCAGTTGCTTCGTTTTGCGTTGCTCGTGGAATTCTGTTTGGGCATGGTGTAGGTACCAGGCTTCCTAGTCTAGAACTTTCTAGGACTTCAGAAGCTGTGGAGGCACTGCCATTTGCTTCCTCCGCAGTGTCCAGAAGGCACGAGACATGAACAGGCTCAGTATCTCGGCCGAGCGCCCTCCCCGGGTAGTAGAAACAAACTCGCCCAGACAGAGAAACTGATGGAGAAAATGGTCAGTGGCTTCCTATAGCTCGTCGTTAACTTAGCTATACTGACAGGTGCCTCGCAGGTACGTGCAGGGCTCATTAAGATTATGTGCTTTTAAACTGCCCTCTTGAGATCAGCTCGGCTGCTAAGAGCCCTCTGCCTGCCAGAGCTGGGGCCCCAGTGTCCTGAGAGTCGGGTCTGCCTGGAGAAAGTGAACACCTCCGCCCTCTGCGGCGCCCGCTGCAGCCCCGGTGACTGTATCTCCAGGAAGGGTCTCGGCGGGGGGTGACAGAGAACTGAACTGAGTTGCCCAGTATGTAAAGTTACCTAATTGTTGACAAGTTATTTCCATCTTGACCAATGTCTTGCATTTCCCTCTGATGCAGCCACGATGCAGATTTACCTGGAAATTCCGGAGCCCCTGAGAACTTGACCTTCAAAGAGCGCCAGCGGCTGTTCTCACAAGGTCAAGATGTGTCCAATAAAGTGAAAGCCTCTCGTAAATTAACAGAACTGGAAAACGAACTGAACACCAAGTGAGACCAGGAAACGGCGCCCGTGCTTCGCCCAGCGTGCTGCCTGCGCGGCTTTGGAGGGTGGGCTCAGCGCGGCTTTGGAGGGTGGGCTCAGAGCAGAGAAGGCGGCGGCATTTCTGCGTCCCAGGAGGGCTGTCTGGAAGCTGAGTGGGATTTACAGATAATCCCGGTCCAAGAAGCTCTTTTGTTTTACCGAGAGATTATCATTTATACAATGTAAACACTGTCTGATTTCCTAATTCTCTGACTCACCTGAAGATATGTGTTTTGTCTCTTTTCCCAGAGTCTGAGTTAGAAACGGGGAGCTGGCAGGGCAGGTGAGGGCAGTGGGACGTCTTCCCTGCTGGCCCCAGGGGGCGCGGAGAGGCCGCGTTCATCCCGTGTCACAGCCTGGACCGTAAGGATGGACGGGGAGCGGCCTGAGCCCCCAGGCCCTGTTTGCACTGTTCGGTGGTGACCGCAGGCGCGCCGCAGGGGGGCACGCACGGAGGACGCCCCACGCGTTTCGTCCAGCGCACGCGTGGGCCGGCCTCACTCGCCTTGCGTGTGGAGCCCAGACGCGGCCCGGACCCACGCGTCCTGGGATGGAGGTGGTGCCCGCCCGAGGCCCTGCCCCCTCCTTCTGCACGGGGACGGCCCTCCCAGCATATTCTAAATAGTTGATTTTTAAACATTCTCCAAAAAGGAAATTCTGAGGGTTTGAACTTAGGATATTTTATTTTTATAAATGCCAGGTTATTGTTAGGCTAATAAATCATTGGTGATTTTGAAGATGGCAGTCACGCTAGGAAGTTAAAATTTCAGATATCGAGGGGAATCTGTGAAAGGGTCTGCTTCACTGGGCGGCATCCGTGTGGATAGAAACACAGATCGGGGGGTGGGGGGCTGGAGGGGGTCAGGAGTGACCTTTGAGCACAACCGTTGCTCAGAAATTTTAAATTTGGAGAGGAAAGAGTGACACCCATGTCCTGTCTGGGAAAGAAGGTTCAATGATGTGGCTTCTGTGATTTAAATACTGTTAAGAGTGACTTGTGTGACGGTCGAAACTGGTTTTTCACATCTGATAGTTACTGAACTTTGATCTGATTACTGTGACCAGCGTCATTTCTTCAGCTGTGAGCACACGGCCGGTGCGGAGGTTTCTGCTGTGTGATGTGAGAGTGCTAAACTATGTGGGGGCTGCGAGCGAAGCTTCTTTTTGACAAGTCCCTGCTATGGGATCTTGAGGGTTTCCTGCTCCAGATTGTTCTTAGAAACACGTCTGTCAGGAGAACATGCACACTTCCAAACAGCAGAGGGAGAGCCTTTGTAGCCTTAGCCATCGCTGTCATGAGCGCTGTAGGGCAAGCCCTTGCGGCGCAGGTGTAACTGTCTTTCATGTCCGTCCGGGTTCTTACCTGGACGTGTGCTGTCACCGCTGCCCGCGTTGAAGGGGGTGACCGGGTGGTCTGTGCTCACGAAGCCCGCACTCGCTCTGCAGCACAGGGGACACAGGCCTCCCAGAGAGCTCGAGAACACCGGCCGCCTCACAGGGACGAGGTCACACTTTGTGTCACGGAGCAGACACCGAGGCCGCTGTCCCGGTATCTGTAGAAGGACAGACACACCTCAGTACACGCACATGCGTGTAAGTGCTCACATGCAGGGGCGGGCGCGCGCGCGCGTGCGTGCGTGAGTGGTTGTAAAGCTGGAAATGGGCGGGTTTGGCCGCCCGTGGTGACGAGGCCACATGTGACCCGTGCTTCTCATGACTGTGCTTCGCTGTGGAGACACCAGATCTGCTGTACTTCCCATTTCTACTGTAGCTCATTTGCAATCTATTTTTAATAAACTTTGTATCTATTTAAAAGCACATTTATTACTGGAGTCGTGCGGGCAAAGGTCATATTTGTAACCTCCGCCTCCACCTCCCGTCTCCTACCTGCGCATTCCCTCATTAACCGGTCAGCGAGTGTCATTCATTCCTGGCTGCGGCGGGGTTTCCGGTGTGTGGGGAAGTGCTTTGTCCCCATCACGCAGACTCTGACAGACTGCAGGCCGCCCGACGGCTGTCCCCCGCCTCACCCAGCCCGTGGGCAGACCCAGGCCCCGCGGTGCTCAGTGAGCCGTGTGGACCGGGGCGAGGACCCGCCTGGGTGGGCTCCGGGAGGGGGCGTGGTCACCCCGCCCCCGCCCGCCCGCCGGTGCTCCCGCCTCTGTGGCCCCAGGGCAGGCGGGCTGGCCAGAGGGGGAGCCGCAGGGCCTGGGCCGCAGGAAGGGCTCCCGCAGAAACCCGCCGTGATCTCGGTAGTGCCGCTGCCGACGTGTCGGAGCGCCAGCGGCGGCTTGCAGTATGTCAGTGCCCAGAAAGGTGCTCTGAGGCTTGAGGGGATGGACACACAGCTGGTCTCCGGACCACCAGGTGTCGCTCCTCGCAGAGGGAACGATTGTCACCTGCACCGCATGGGGTTCCGGGAGGGGCTGCGGAAGAGGAAGCCTCTGCTCCACTGTTGGGAGATGGACTGGAGAGACCGGCTTGGACTTCTGGGGACACGCGGGGCTGCAGCCAGGTCTCAGGGCCCCACTTCCACTCAGGAGGGGCTCGCACAGGGAACAGAGGCCAAGTGACCGGTCTCAGGACAGTACTCAGTGTGGTTTATTCAGTCGCGGCGCCCCAAAAGGTGTGCCTTCAGCTCCAAATCGGGATTTTAAACACCTGCGTCTTACACGGTTTATTCCACAAATCTAAGCCACGAGTGCCTGCCACAAGCCAGTCGCTGTGACACTGGCTGCAAGTGTCCCCAGCAGATGCAGGAAGACAGCTCACGGTTTGTCCACAGGAGGTGGACAGGGCACTCAGAGGGCTTGGCCGGGACCCGGGCCAGCTGGTGGTGGCGGGCCTTTGGAGTGAAGGACCTTCGCTCTTGAGAGAAAGGACTGTTCGCCGGAGGAGGACCCCGGGGCGGAAAGGCTGCAGGCAGATACCGGGTAGGAGACGGGGCCGCGGGCCAGCGGGCGCCAGGAGGTGGGTCTGAAGCACAGAAAGAAGACCTGCGGTCTCCACGCAGCTTCCCCGCAGGCCTCCAAGGGAGGCTTGGTCGCATGCGGAGAAAGCACAGGAAGGTCCTGTGGGCGCTGAGGGGCACGCAGCACTTGCCAGCAGTAGCCCAGCCGTGGGGCCCCAGCAGGGCCTGGGGGTGGGGTGCAGGGTAGATCACAGAGGTGCCCAAAGACGAGGCAGGAACCCATACCGATGGCCTCAAACAAGAAACTAGAATGGTGACTTTCAGGTCATATGTTTGTTTGCTGGATTAAACCTTATTTTTTCCTGCTCTCTTAAGCCTTATGTTTTATTCTTTTATGGAGAGGACAGGAACAAATGGCTAAGTCTGAATTGGGGACAGTGGGTCCAACTTCACCTTGGAATTTTTAAAAACAACATAAAACTAGCACAAACAACAGGAGATGTGGAAGACAGTGGGTTAATTGCACAGCTCTGTAGAAGCCCTGCCTCCCCAAGCTCCCCCTTGGGGACAGGCCACCGGCTAGCAGACCGAGGACACAGACACGTTCTGACAGGCTCGGGGTCAGGGCCCCTTGGTGGCTGTCCACGTTCCAAGTGTGCTTGCCGGGTCCCCGAGATCCCTCCGGCGGCCCTGGACACAGTTCCAGATACTCGGGCTCTCCGGATGCAAAGCGTGACGCGTTTAAAGACACCTGCCTCTCCTCTCGGTGATCTGGGATGTGTCTGCTCATGCTTTCACCTTGTTTTGTGATCTTAAATGTAGTGAAAGTCATGGCTCAAAGACGACCGGCTCTGCCGCCTGCTTCCGCCAACAAGGTCGCTCAGGACGCTCTCGGAAAGAGTTCGTCTCCATTGGCTACAGAAACATCGTGGGATGCAGGCAGCGGTAGAAAATGAGTCTGAAGGGCGAGGTGACCGCCAGTGGCGGAAACGCACAGGGGGCTCCCCAGCGCACGGCTCCGGCCACCAGAGCAGGGACCAGCGCCGGCTTGTCCCGTGCCCCTGACCGAGGTGGCACCGGTGGTGTCCACGGGCCTCTGGTGGCCTCGAGGCAGAGCACACGGTGGCCCCCAGCCAGGCTGCCTGGGAATCGGATGGGAGACCGTTGGTGGCCCCGTCGGGCTGGTGGTAAAGGAGCTCCCCAGCTGGACGGCGCTCAAATGCCCTACTCAGGCACCGTTGCGACTCAGGCCAGGGGGCCCGGGGTGCACCGTCCCTGGAGACAGCGCGTGGGGACTGGGTTCTGGCTGCGGGAAGGTGCCCCCGACGAGAGCTGCAGGGACCCCAGCGGAAGGGCGCGAGGAGCATCGGTCAGCAAGGCCGGGACACATTCGCAAGTCGTGCCACGCCACCTGTCACCGTGTCCTGCCGCCTGCACCTCTCCTGAGTCGTGGGCTCTGGGACCCAAAGTGGAGTCGTCTCCCCGTCACTGCGGTTTCTGCTCGGAGTAGGATCGCTGTGTCCCGTGTGCCCGGCACACACACGTGTCGTACGTGGTGCGCCACGTGCGCGTTGCATGGGTGCTGACAGTTGGCAGCCTGGTGGCCTAACCGGCGCCCAGGAGAGAAGAGAAGCCTCGCGCCATATCCGACCAGCACGTTTGCTGCTGTGACCCCAGCCCGGGGGTCTGCCTCTTACTCGTTCATCAGGCGTAGGCAGCCTGTTCCCGTCGTGTGCTGGGGGAGGGCGCGGCTCGTGCACAGCATCCCCCTCGCCACTGCCTGTTCTCTCTGATGCAGCCGTTCAGCCGGCAGGGAATTGGCCTGAGTTCCTAAACGTGCCAGACGCTGCAGGTGCTGCGGGCGCGGCAGCCGTCTGTGGAGCTCCGGATCTGCCCTGGGGACGGTGGCCCCACCGCCTGCTCCGGGGAACCACGCCGAGGGCGACGCGCCGGTGGGAGGAGGACGTGGGCCCCAGTCCGTGTGGGGTGGTTTTGACCTGGACAGCGTCCTGAGGGCCGCAGAGGCGGGGCGTGGGAGTGTGCACAGCAGGGAGTCCGCTGACCTGGGGGCCGCGTGGGCGGGGCAGGGAGGGGGCAGGGACACAAGGCAGGCAGGGGTGCATCCACCATCCTGAGCTCCTGGTTTTTATGCTGATGGAGAAGCCGAGGGGAGGGAGTGTCCGACTGGCATGTCACCATGTAGGTCCACGGGCTGGTGCCATCACTATGCTGAGCCCAGGAGGACTTGTCCGTGATGGCATGTGGGGCGACAGGAGGAGTGGATGCCAAGGTGTGGGTCCCCGTGGCAGAGGGATGCAGATGCTCCAGGGGTCGGCCAGGGTGGGGGCCACGGGGGTGAGCGTGGGGCGGCCCCTGGGCAGTGCCAGTGGGCAGTGGGGCCTGCAAGTCAGGAACTCGGGAGCAAGCTGGACGCAGAGTGAGGGCAGCATCAGGGTACAGATGGCAGAGGAGACAAGCACCATCAGATGGAGGGGCACCAAGAGCCAAGTGAGTATTTCAGGAAGCACGGAGACCAGCTGTGCGGGGACCACTGGACGGGCATGTGGCTGTCCTCTGCCACCCTCCCAGGGCGCAGGGCCCCTGCGGAGCACTGCAGGAGTCGGGGTAGGGAGGGCGGCCTGGCAGAGGAGGGGCGGGTCGGGGCAGGGCTGCCGAAGAGCAGGGGAGGGCTTGGCCTGGAGGCCCCTGCCCCGCCACAGGTGGTGCGCCTGCACCAGCACCTGCGCTGCGGCTTCACCCCTGGGCGCTCCCCCTGCCCCTGGGGCCTGGCCCGGCGCTGCCCCCCCCCCCCCACCAGCTGTCCGGGGCCCGGAGGGGCGCCCGCTGGCCTCTTCTGGCGCTTGTCCCCTGGCTCCTGCTCCCAGGGGACTCCAGAGGTCCTCAGCGGACGTAAAATTAAGGGACCAACGGTAAGGTCCCACCCAGAGGCTGTAATTTACTTGGGGTTTGGAACCCCCACAATATTCAGTGAACAGCCCTCAAATGTAGCTGCTCCCCTCCCCCACCCCTCTCCCATGACCCCGTCGCCATGGAAACCAAGCGCGCAAACGCCTGTGCACGCGCAGCAGGTGGTCTGGGCTGGGCCTGGCGATGCCGGCGGCCGCGCAGGGCTGACGCTGGGGGCGCTTCTGGGAGCAGCGGGCCAAGCAGCTGCAGCGGCAGGTGCAGGTGAGCAGGGCCAGGTGTGCGCAGCTGCGGCCCCGCCCCCTCCCGCCCCTGAGCCTTGGGGTCGGGCCAGCAAGGGACAGGGGGTGACAGCGCCCTAAGACCCCTGGGGCAGAGGCGCCTGTCATCTCCCACCATCCGCTCAGTAGGGTGCGAGGTCCGGGTCTGCTCTCCCCGTGGGGCCCCAACCCCGCCCCCATCTCCCCGCGCGCCCCACCCACACCTGAGGCCTCACGGCCCCCTCTCACCGCGGCGCCCCTCCCGTGACTTGTTGAATGTCTACTATCTACTGTGCTAAATTCAGTGGCTAAGCGACCACACATGTAACCTTTCTGTTCCCTGCTCTCTTGGAGTATCGGTGGAATAAAGAAGGAAAATAGTCACAAAATAAATGTAAACCACCAAAGTGGACCCAGAATGCTCCTGCGGAGGGGACGTACCCAGTCCTATAGGGGCTTATAATGCAACCCCGGCCGGGTGTGGGAGTCAGGGCTGTCCCCGCGAGCCGAGGTGGAGCGGGGTTCTCCTGGGCCGGAGACCGCCATCTGGCAGAGTGTCGAGGGTTAAGGACGGCGCTGTCCCCCAAGAGGAACGGCCTTGCGATGGCGAGTGATGGCGGGGCTGGCATCGGGGAAACCGGGGAGCGCTCGCAGGGGCAGCTGCTGCTTGGGGCAGAAGCGGAGGCGGTGGCCTGTGCAGCAGGGAGCAGGGGGGGCGGCGGAGCAGCGCCCGCAGGGCCAGGATGCTCTTTATCTTGAGGGCCAGGGAAGGCTATCGAAGAGATTTTAAAGGAGAGAAGAAGCGGTTAGATCCGTATTTTGAATATGTCGCTAGTAGCAAGGGGTCCAGAAGGGCGAGCATGAAGGTGTAGGGCCGAGTGAGTCGTGGCAGGGCAGGACCCCTGGATGCCTGGATGCCGAGGCGAGGGTGTGTGTGACCCACTCCCGGAAAGACCAGCAAACCTGGGAAGCATCACAGAGAAATGGTTCAAAGCCCCTGGAAGTTGCCCAAACAGCATACAGCAAATGAAGAAACATTTTATTCAAGAAAAAAAAAACCTCCATAAGAACAGTCCGAGTCTGCGGCCCTCTGCCTCACGCCACCCAGGCTCTGCAGCCAGAAGGTCCCCTCTGGGCGTGTGTGGCTGAGAAGATGGGGCCCCGCCTCCCCTCAGCTTTGGGCCACAGCTCACCGTTTTTCACCAGTTTGGACAGGCCCCCAGCACAGAGTCGAGGACGCTAAATGCCTAGCTGACTGCGGCAGAGGCCGGGGACCCCTTCCTTCACCCAGCCTCCACTCACGTAATAGAGGCCTTACCCCGGAACAGAGGCGGGGGGTCCTGGGGTCCAGTTGCTCTTCCCCAGCTTGATCAGCACCAGGGTTTCATCGTGAAAGAGCAAGCCACGAGCTCAGAGGCCACAGGCCTGCCAGGTGCCCAGAGATTTTGCTCAAGGCAAGAGGCAGCCCAGAAGAGAGAGCTCTGAAGCTCTTCCCACAGGAATGGGCTTCGTCTGAAACTCTCCGGTGAGGCTCAGAAGCGAGAACTCTTCTTAAATAAGAGCACTTATGAGTCGGCTTGGGCGCCGTAACAAAGCGCCACGCACCATGTGGTTTAAACCATGTATTTAAACCATGTGGTTTAAATACGCTCCTCACGGTCCCGGAGACCGCGAGTCCTAGAGCAAGGTGTTGGCGCTGGTGTCCCCTGAGGCCCCTCCCCTTGGCTTGTGGTGTGCTCACATGGTCTTTCCTGTGTGTGTGGGTATCCCCACAGTACCTCTCTGTGCCCTAATATTCTCTTAGGAGGACCCCAGTCACATTGGATTAGAGCCCGTGCTGATGGTCTCATTTTAACTTAAGCACTTCTTTAAAGGCCCTGTCTCCAGATACAGTCACACACTGAGGTCCTGGGCTTGGGACTCCGACATGTGAATTTGTGGGGAGCACAGCCCATAACAAGCAGCAAGCTAACAGACCACCTAGTTCACGGGAGGCTAAGAAGAGCCTGCGGTTAAGACAGATCTCTCAGAAGGGCTTCCCAAAGTGTCCCTGCCCCAGTTTAATTGGGGCAGACAGTGGAGAAATTCATGCCTGACGCCATTGTTGAAAACAGTCAAGCAATCAGTCAGTAATTAGTCGGACTCAAAGGAGGCAGATTAGCAGAGAGATCAGGGAGAGACATTAACACACGGACCCCTGCTTACAACTGTGGTCTCTCCAGTGCTCCAGGGCCGTGTGCATGCCCGGGCCTGTGTCCTTCTAGGAGCTCACCAAGGCTTCCCACTGAGGGGGAAACAGACTTCCCTAGAGGAGCCCAACTGAGTCACTCAACAAAGCACACAAACAGCAACAAGAACAAACTGCAGATGGGGGAAAGGCATCACTAGCTAAAGTTTCTACCATATGTTTCTTAAAATGTCCAGTTTTCAACAACAACAAAAAGATAAGATGTGAAAAAAAAACAGGGAAGAGAGACTTATCCACGAGGGGAAACAGACAAGAACCACCATTGGAAAGCCTGACATTGGAATTAATAAGACTTCAAAGCAGTCATTGCGTAAACATAAAAATATGTTCAAGGGACTAAAGGAACCCACATTACAGAAGTAAAGGAAAATATACTTTCTCATCAGATAGAAAATATCAATAAAGGGATAGAAATAACTTATTTAAAAAAATGTAACCCTGGAGTTGAAAGTAGCTGATATGAGGACATTCCCCAGAGGACTCAAGAGTAGATTTGAATGGACAAAAAAAAAAAAAAAAGAATCAGCAAACTTTTAGCTTGGTACAAATTATGTAATCCTAAGAACAAAGGGAAAAATGGGAGGAAGGAATATGATTGGAACCTGTAGATGCGAAGCCTGTAGGCACACCAACATATACACGTCATGGGAACGCCAGCAGGGAAGAGTGAGGAAACACAAGAAATATTCAAAGAAATAATTGCTCAAGCTCCCCAAATGTGTTGAAATTCAGCACACATAGAAGGAGCTTTCAGAACTCCAATTAGGATAAATACAAAGAGATCCACACCCACATGCCTCATAATAAAATTACTGAAAGAGAAGGGAGGGAAGTCAGGGAAGTCAGTCAAGTCAGTCCATGAGCAGACTCTCATCAGCAACAGGGGCTGTGGGTGACCTGGGTGACGTGGGTGAAGCGCTCAAACGGCTGAAAGACAAATCCTGTCAACTAGAAATATTATACCCAGCAAAACTGTTTTGGAAATGAAGGCAAAATAAAAGCTTTCCAAGATAAACAAAGTTGGAGAAAATTTGTTGCTAGAAGGCTTGCCTTATTACGCGACACTAAAGGAAGTTCCTCAGGCTGAAAGCAAGGGCCCCCTCCCCCACAGAAACACAAATCCACAAAGAACGTCAGCAAAGACAGTCACATAAGTATAAAAGACAGGGTAAAGGTGTATGTTTCTTCTTTGTTTCCTTCACTGATTTAAAAAGCAATTGTGTAAAACAGTAGATGTGTAATCGTGCCATTGACACTATAACATATAGACATGTCATATATTTGACAAAAGTGGCACAAAGGAGGTGGGTGGGGACAGTTTTCCTGGAGTAGGACAATGACACCAGGCGGTAGTTTGAATCCACAGGACCGAGTGTGCCCGGTGTTTCATCACGGTGAAGAAGGCCAACAACGCAAACCCTGCAAGTCCCTTCTCTCCTCAGCTTCTCTAATGAACATGAGGTTACGTAAAGCAGCAAACATAGCACTGGACTGTGGCATCTGTGACGTGTATGGATGTGACATGTGATGGTACCAACGCAACAGACGGAACAGGAGAGTCTGGCTGTAGCAGGAATGTTTCTGTGTCTCACTGGACTCTGACTATCCGTGTGAAGTGGGCTCTTCCAGGTTCAAAGTGTAGGGTGGGCTTTCGAGCAACCACTTAGAAAATTATTCAGAAACTCATGGAAAATGTCATTGAAGAAATTAAAATTTTATACTAGAAAATATCCACTCAATGCAGAAAAGGGCAGTAAAGGAACAAACAAGACACGAGGCACATAGAAAACGAACAAGAGAGGTGTCGGGCGCAAACCCACATCAGCGGCATTAAATGTGAGTGGACAAGCCATCAGTCAAAAGGCAGGTTCTGTCCGACTGGGTAAGAAGTGAACTCCAACTACATGCTGTCTGTCTACAGGGGACACGTTTTACTTTCAAAGATACAAATAGCTTATAAGCAAAAGGATAGAGAAAGAAACATCACGCCACCATCAACTACAAGAAGACTGAGTGACTGTACTTACATCAGACAAAATAGACCCTCAGATGACATAAATGTCACTACAGATAAAGACGGACATTTGATAATGACAGAAGTGTCACTCCATCGGACAGATGGGAGAAGTGTAAGTGCACCTAACAACGTGGCCCTGAAATTGACAGATTGAAGACAGAAATTGGCCGTTCAACATTAATAGCCGCAGACACCAACCCTCCCCTTTCAGTAATGAACAAACTGGACAGAGGACCGGCCAGGAGACAGACAACTTGACCAACACCATTGAACCAACGTCCACAGAACAGCCCGCCTGTACGCAGGAGGACACGCGATCTTCTCAAGTGCACGCGGCACACACTCTCTGGGTTAGACAATGTGCTGGGCCACAGCGGAGGCCTGACTGCATGTAAAAGAATAAAGATCATATAAAGTAGTTCTCCAGTTATGATAGAGGGAAGGTAGAAATTAGTAACAAAAATAAATTTTGGAAATTCACAAATATGTAAAAATTAAACAAGATATTTTTAAATTTCAGTAGATCAGCGAAGAAATCACAAAGGAGGTCAGGGAACATTTGGGGAGGAATGAAGATGAAGACACCACACAGCAAAGTTTGGGGGATGCAACCAAAGCAACGCCTGGAGGAACAGTCGTGGGTGTAAAAACCTACATTAAAGCTCTCCAGTCAACGCCCTAAACATCCAGTTCAGAACACTGAGGAAGCAATACCGAACTCCAGCAGAAGGAAGCCACAATAAAGATCAGAGCAGAAATAAGTGAAACAGCGCGTGGAAAAACTATACAGAAAATCAACAGAACCAGAAGCTGGCTCTTTGGAAAGATGAACAAAATTGATAGACCCCTAGTATGACTGACTGAAAAGAAGACTCAAATTAACAAAATCAAGAATCAAGGAGAAGGCATCGCAACTTCACAGAAATAAAAAGGAAGGCAGGAACATGCTGTGAAAGGCACTGCTGACGAGTTAGCCTGGGTGAGTCAGTCAAATTCCCGCAGAGTCACAGATCACCAAAACCGAGTCAAGAACTAGAGGATGCGAACACAAGGAGAATCCATGCTGACGCTAAAGTAGGAATCCTAAATCTCACAAAGTAACACCCAGTCCCAGATGGCTTCCCTGGTGAATTGTAGCAAACATGTAAAGACAAATGAACACCAGTCCCCTGAAAACTCTTTGGAAGAATAGAAGGAAGGGACCACTTCCTCTCCCATGGCGCCCATCCTGCCCTGATGTCGGAACTGCAGGCAAAGCTCACAAGAACACTACAGAGCAGTATCTCTTACGGACGTAGATGTAAACATCTTCAAAAATTACCGGCAAATTGCATCCAGCGGTATATGGAAAGGGCACACACCCTGAGCAAGTGGGAGTCATCCCAGGGATACTCCAGCGTTCCCCGGCCAGTTAACGTCACGGACTGAATCAATAGAAGACAGGACACACCCCATGATCATTTCGATAGGTCCATAAACATGCTTTTGACGAAATATCACTCCACGGTAAAAACACTCAACCAGCTCCTCAACCTGATAAGCGATGTCCTCAAAACCCCTGCTGACCCTTAACATGAAAGGAGCAAGAGAGACACATCCATTCTTGCCCATTCACTGCCCCCCAAGGGGTGCTAGTCAGGGCAGTTAGGTGAGACAACAAAAGGAAAATGGGTCTGTACCAGAAAGGAGGAAATAAGGCTGTTTCTACGTACAGATGACATGATCTCATATATAGGAAATGCTAAGGAATCCATCAAAAAAAAAAAAAAAAAGACTACTGGCACTGAGTGATTGCAGCAAGATTGAAGGACACAACATCCTTATGCAAACGTCAGTTGTATTTCTGTTTCATAGCAATGAAAAAACAAAAATGAAATTGAGACAACAGCTCCACTTACAAGATCGTCAAAGATAATAAAATGCTTTGAAAGAAATGTAACCCAAGAGTTGCAAGGCTTGCACATGACGCACAAGGCTTGAAAATGATGGTCAACATCATTAGCGATCAGGGCAACGCAGGTCAAACAGCGATCATGCACCCAGGTGGCTGTGATCAAAGAGACAGATGGAAGTATCTTGAGGGTGTAGAACCCTTGGAATTCTCACACTCCGCTGGCGGGACTGCAGGGAAGACCGTCGGGGCGTCCCTCGGCAGGCTGCCCGGTTCCGGTCCTAGGCATACACCCACCCAGGCGAAGGGGCCCCGTGTGTCCGCACAGAGCGCTTGTTCAGGAATGCCGCAGCAGCACCGTTCCCAACAGCAGAAGTGCAAACAACCCAGACGCCCTTCAGGTGATGCTGGGTGGGTAAGTGCCGTCTGGCTACAGGATAGATTATTGTCGGGCGCTAAGAAGACACGAAATTGTGAAATTCTGAAATTCCCGTGAAAGCGCCCGAGGGACTACGCCCGAGGGACTACCCTCAGATGATTCTGGTGATACAGTGTCCAGAACTGGCAAACCCGTAGAGACAGAAAGTGGATTCATGCTTTCCTGGAGCTGGGTGGGGGGTACTTAGGGAGTGATGTGGTTTTTTTCTGGGGTAACAGAAATATCCTGAAATGAGCTTTGGCGATGTGGCACAATGTGAGCATGCCAGAGGCCACGGAGGTGTGCACGTCAGGCGGGTGGCCCGCACGGAAGGGACTTACGTCTCCATAAAGCTGCATCGGGCGGCATCTTCGCATCGAGTGGACGTTCACGGAAACACCCAACAGGCTTCCTTCAAGAGACAGAGTCAAGTGAGCCTGTAACACAAGGTCTAGACGACGCCCGGCTCCCGGGTTTTATAACCTGTCACGAAGAGACTGTCCTAAACCGGCCACAGCTCTCCGTGGGCTGCGAGTCAGCCGGCTTGGGGAGGGCCCCCCACAGAAAGCTCCGGGCAGTGAGCCGCCTCCCCGGCCCCCTCGCTCTCCCGCCCACCCAGGCCTCCAGCTTCCCCAGCGCCCGCTGGAAACAGCTGGTACTGAAACACCTCTGCTTGAAACCCCGCAGGCAAGACACGCCTCTTCCCTGTCTGCCCTCCCCCCAGCCCCGCGCCCTCCCCGGCCCCTCGCCGGCCCCTCCTCGGGCGTCACCTTCCCTCTCTGCCCCTCAGCCTACCAGACTCATTGCCGCCTGCGGGCCTTCGCACAGCCTTTCCCCTTGGCCCTGGGTTTCCTCGCTGGCCCTCCTCCCCCTCTCTGAACCCACGTCGCTGTTTTAGCTGTGACGTGGCTGCACCCCTCCCCCCACCCCGCCTGCTCACTTGCCCCACACACTGGCTCTCCCACGTCTCCGCAGTCAGATGGGAGTGCCACGGCCGATGAGTTCACTGCTGCGTCCACAGCACCCAGACACGTGGCTGGCACGTGACCGACTTCTAATGTATCTTTACATAAATGAATTAATAAAGGGAAAGAGGGGCACCCGGCTGGCTCAGCGGGTAGAGCGTGTGACTTGATCTCAGGGTCATGAGTTCAAACCCCACATCGGACGTGGAGCCTACTGAAAAAAAAATAATTGAAAGAAAAGCTGATTTGGGTGAGCGGTGCCTTCCGGATTTGAACGTGCATATGGGTCACCTGGAGCTCTTGTTAAATGGATTTAACAAGACCCTGATGGACTTGGCGGGGGGTGGGGGGCGGTTAACAGCCTGACTGAGGAACGATGTATGTGCCATAATGCAGGATTCCGTGCCCCCAGCGAGCTCCCGGCTGCTGGGGACCACGCTTGCACACTTGGAGTGGGAGCCATAGCCACGGGGCGAGGGGCCCTCACTCCAGCCCCACCCCCAGCTCTTCCCCAGGGCGGTGCCGGCTTCCTTCCCAGACCGTCCGCAGCACCAGGTGCCCGCAGAACCATCATCTACACTCATAATGTCCCCGTTTTGGTCCTTGGTTTTAGGCCAGAGACGAGCGGATAGTTGATCTGGAAACGGAAAATGCAGGTCTTCGCCTGAGGCTGGCGCAGGTAACAGCCGCCCGCGCCCTGCGGTGCCGAGGGCTCGGGGACCGCCGTCCGGGCCTCCCCTTTCCTGGAGGGGGAGCTGGTGGGACCCTCTCCCCCCGGGGCTGCACGCGGTTTAACTCCCGCTTCCCTGCGAGCTCTCGAGCGTTTAGTGAGCAATAAGCTAACGGCCCGTGTGCTTTCGCCAGGTGGGACGCACGGACAGTAACTTCACCCGGTGATGTGTGTGGTAGCGTCGTGACACCCCCTTGCCTGCACCCCGAAGCCCTGGCCCTGTCCCCGTCCCCTGCCGCATCCCAGACCCACCCTGCTTTCCGGGATAGTCACCTGCGTGACTGCCCAGACCGCGCGCCCCTCAAAGGCGCCTCTGCCTGTTTTGCTGCAGGGTTGCTCCCGGCAGGGAAGACACAGCACGCAGAGCATTCGGGGCCTCTGTCCACGCTGTCCTCAGCGCGCCGCTGCGGCCTTGGGGGGCCCCGGGCAGGCCCCGTGTGCCGCCCCAGCCCTTGTCAGAGGAGGAGAGCCGTGAGGAGGAGTGGGGACATTTGCAGACGGTGACAGCCACAGCCAGGGCGCCGGGGCCGCAGGAGAGGCGGGAGGACCCACCGGAGCCCCTCGCGGGATCCGGGCCTCCAGGACCGAGAGGGGATGCGTGTCTGTCATCTTCGGCCTGCCGTTGGTGGCGATTTGTCACAGAGGCAAGTTTAGAAAACCAACTTGTGAATTCCGACCCCTTCGAGTTCTCCCTGGGCTCAGGCGGAATCAGGTCCCAGACTCTCCATGCTCCCTGAACAACCGTGTCAAGATCCACCGGACAGAAATGCGTTGCCTAAACTGTACATTTGTTTGCGGCTGCTCCTACTGCCTCTGAAGCGAAGGATTCATTTATTTGTCCCTGGCACCGGCCACACCTGCGCATGCGAGCCGTCCTGGCAGCCAGCAGCCTGAGCCTGCGCCCCCAGGAGCCGCG